TAATAATAATAATAATAATAACAGTAATATTAACAGTAATAACTTCTGTTATTCATGCGCACTTTCCCACTAATTGGAAAGCTGCTTTCAGTTACACCCAGAGCCACCCAGAGCCAAATACCATCGTAACTATTTCTTTCTCAAGGAGGCGACGCCTTACACAGCCAGGCAGAATATTTCGCATGTTTGATATTGTTTTCTGTGGACCACCGATTTCATATAAAAGCGGGTGTACACTGCACAATGATCGAAATATCGGTCAACCGTTTCGGGCATTTAATTATTTGTGTTTGAATAGCGACGAAGGAACATATAGGAAAACAGAGTATCGACGGAGAGGCAATCGGGAACAGAACGCCCTTAAGGATATGTCACGTGATCGAAAGTAATCAACAGAGACATTGGAGTACTACTATACATTGAAAGTACCTTTCCGTCTCTTCAGGCATTAGCTTACTGTTGTGCTAACATGAGGCAAAGGAACCACATCCAGTGGCGATGGCGAGTGAGACTGTCAATCCACTCTTGCACTGGTCAACAGGTTACTTTGTAACACAGGTCGCAGGGTCCCCCTATTTTCTTTTTTTTTTTAAGTTCACTCCCCTCCCCCCTTTTTTTTCATAGATTCTAGATTTGCATTCTGTAGGATTAACAGAAAACCACATTGGTGCGAAAACCCCGTTTAACCTTATCACCATACAGCACATTATACTAGGCACCACAAAACACTTACCACGAAATCTTCAGTGCAAAAAGGGGAGGGGGGAGCTGGGTTGCCGTTGGGTCGCCCCAGTATAATAGTAGAATACGGGTGAACGTTATGTCTCTGATTTGCTCCTGCTGGATTTGTACTAGAAAAGTGGCTCATTGAATCATCATGTGTCAATTGTTAAGGCTGATATCACAGAGGAGGACAAGTGAAAAAGAAAAGAAACAAAAATATAGAGCAGGTACTCCCCGTGTGGGTTCCGGGGACCCATTGTGTGGGAAACAAGAATAGACCCACTGCCTACTGAAAAGCGTGTCGTAAGAATCGACTAATTTGGGAGCTTCCTTTGAAATCCAAGAGCATCTACCTGAGAGGCAAGGAGCCAACAGTCTGCATTCAAGTGAATCGTATCTGTAAAACTTATGCACACGCAACACTCAGGTTCTGGAGCAGGACTGCAGTTCAGAAGTGGACGAACAACCATAACTTTCTGCCAGAGTGTACAGCTGGTGAACGCGAAGAGGAAGAAGATAAAGCAGAAGAAGAAGAAGAAGAAGAAGAAGGAAGGAGGAGGAAGAAGGAAGAAGAAGGAAACAGAAGAAGAAGAAGAAGAAGAAGAAGAAGAAGAAGAAGAAGAAGAAGAAGAAGAAGAAAGAAGAAGAAGAAGAAGAAGAAGAAGAAGAAAAAGAAGAAGAAGAAGAAGAAGAAGAAGAAGAAGAAGAAGAAGAAGAAGAAGAAGAAAGAAGAAGAAGAAGAAAGAAGAAGAAGAAGAAGAAGAAGAAGAAGAAGAAGAAGAAGAAGAAGAAGAAGAAGAAGAAGAAGAAGAAGAAGAAGAAGAAGAAGAAGAAGAAGAAGAAGAAGAAGAAGAAGAAGAAGAAGAAGAAGAAGAAGAAGAAGAAGAAGAAGCAGAAAGAAGAAGAAGAAGAGGAGCAAGTACCAGCTGCCTGAACTACAGCCAGTGCTCAGCTCAACATGCCCAAGCCTGTGCCCTGGAAAGACGATGAGCTGTTGGTTGTACATGCGCTTAAGTACCTAAGCTCTCAAATTGCAGACGACCTTTCCCATGATGCAGAACTGCACAGATAAATATGAATGGCTTCTGCGGTGTTTTAAAAACTCACATCAAGAGTGTGGTCACACAAAAAGCTTATGGAAAGGACCAACATTTAAAGTTATCAAGCTTGCGTCCTGAGCACGCTCTTTTACGGCAGCGCGAGATGAACAAAGCACAAAGCACTAGCCCCGTAGCTCCAGAAAGGATCTCAGAAACTTGTGCATCTGCTCACTGACCATGGCGTCTGAAATAGAACTCAAGACCTTTAGAATTCGAAATAAACATTGAAACCACTTCCCACACAGGACCCTGGACGACTGACTATTTTCCCCTCCTGTCTGCTTCCTTAAGGTTTGACACCTGTGGGATTTAAAGAGCTGCATCCTCAAGACAATCCAACAGGAGAATCCGACATGCTATGTCCTACACCCAAAGAAGCTATATTTTTGGAACCAGTGTCGGCTACACAATGTATGCGGGGAAGTCAATAAGTAAGTCACAAATGGGCGTTTAAAAAAAATTAATTAAAGAGGATAACAACTTGAAAACCGTTAATTTTTCATAACAAACTGTCCCTTTATTTTTCAACATAATTTTCACCAATATTGATGCATTTGTCCCATAGTTTTATCAGTCCTTCTAAACCTGTTGCATAGAACTGCGTGCTCTGTTGTATAAATCACATTTTTACTTCACATTCAACCTTTGAATCATTCGCGAAATGTCTCCCGCCAAATAGGATTTTGAGTGCATTATTTTGTATGCTGAACCATGTGAGCACCCTATTGCAGCTGCTACAGAGTCATTCGTTGCTTGACTATCACCTCTAATCATCTCATTCACCCGTTGCACGGTTGCGTCTGTTGCAATCTCAACATGATGAACAGATCGGACTTCATTTTTACTCAGCTGTGCTCTTGTTGACACGGGATAAACATGTCAGTATAAATAGGTAGCATTTCCTTATGAATGTCACTTGCATGCAGCCCTTTAGCATTAAAAAAAAAAAAAAAAACTGCGCAACAGCACGTTGTTCTTTGTAAGTACAGTCATCATTTTGTTTCTGTGTTGCGAATTCTCATGCAACACCTACCACCACCTAACGAAAAGAGACATACAATTCGATGTTGCTGTCACCTAATGACACCTTTAGATACCACCAGCTATATTTTCATGCCCTCCCATAACCATTTGTGACTTACTTATTGACTTCCCCTTGTTCTACCTTAGTGCAGGGACGGCGACATAAAGAAAATATTGGAGGCTGCGTTTAGTCCCCTAAAGAAACTTGTCTGGCCCTTGAAGGTCCTAGATGATTTTGGAAGATGATTTAATTTTCCAGTTTTTTTTTTTTTCACTTTTCTTTTTTGGGATTTTAGCCATACAGAATGACACATGATGATTCAACAACAGGCTGACCATAATATTTTGAACTGAAAACGTGGACATCCTACTAATATTTCGAGCTGAAAACAGAATATCCCAAACAAGTCAGTCCTCCCCCCCCCCCCCCCCCCCCCCACATTTCCTCTTCTCTTTCCTGTTTTCTGGGTCATCGAGGAGAAAACGGGCTTATTTATTATTCCCTCGACACTGAAATTGAAACCTGAACCATTGACGCCAAGAATTAAATCAAAGATCAGCTCTTTAAATACAACGAAAAGAGAAAAAAACATGCTACAATTAAAATTATAAATACATTTCAGGCATTATTAAAGTATCTGAAACTATGATACCTAAATAAGGCCTACATATATAACTATAAGTTTATGTTTGTTCCTGGATTTGTACAAAACAGAATAATTAGCACTTGAAAAAAAAAAAAAAAAATACAGGACCGTTGTTTTTAGTACCGGCGGAACGAGGAACACATTCATGAAATAAAATAATAAAAAACCGACTATTCTTGTGAAAATTGGAGCGAGCGAGAGGGAGGGAGGGAGGGAGGGAGGAGGTGGGAGAGAGAGAGAGAGAGAGAGAGAGAGAGAGAGAGAGAGAGAGAAAGAGAGAGAGAGAGAGACGGAGAGAGAGAGAGAGAGAGAGAGAGAGAGAGAGAGAGAGAGAGAGAGGAGTGACAAATAAAATACATCGATACAAGAAAAGAAACTGCATGCAATCGAGGGACCTAGGCTGCATGCAGTCGAAGGACCTAGGCTGCATGCAGTCGTGGGACCTAGGCTGCACTCTCTCGTGGGACGTAGATAGCTTGGGATTCGACCCAGTTCTAGATGTTTTGGGGTAGCATCAGAAAGCTGAGAAACCGCTCTTACCACCCTCGAAAATATTGGACTGTCCTGTGACGTCATCCTGGGGGAGGGGAGGGGAGGGATAATGGGAAAGCACCTTATTTTCTTTTCTCGCTCGCGTCAGAACTGGAGAAAGGCGTGGGGTGGGGGTGGGGGGGGGGGGAGTTACGCCACTTCAACTCCGTCGACCCCTCTGGAAAAAAAAAATTGGGGAGTAAATGAGTAATTGTCTCTATCCTATATGACGTATCTGTATCTGCCCCAAACATCACAATCCATTAGCCTTCGTGCTAGTAATTGTGGTGATTAAAAACAAATTATGAATTTCATTCTAGCTTTTTAAAATCCATTCTCCAGAATTTTGGTGGATTTCCTTATAAAATTTGTCACTGGCCCATTAACCACGTATAGAAGTTCAATTTCAACATTTGTTTATTCCTTATTATGTGTATCTGTCGTTTAGTATTTCGTCAGTATCATCACTATTGTCATAATTACGCGATAAACTAGGCTTTTGCCACTTGAGGCCTCACCTCTAGAAAACTAGATGGGAGCTTGGGAATGCACCCCTTTCCCTCAATGATTTCTTTGTTCGCGCAGCTGTTTTATTAGGGGGGGGGGGGCGCTGAGTAATCTCGGGGCATGACGTCCGCCCTGAATGTTGGAGGTCACGGGTTCAAGCCCCGGTGAAGGCCCTTTTTTTCACGTGGACCTCTATTCTAGTAATTTCAAACCGATCAGCATTCAGTTGGCGATGAAGTCAAACGCGTCTTCAGTCGTTACTACTTAGTACATAATCTGGTATGCATTTGAGCTGTAAATGATTTGCCTCATCGAAATGATGACGATGAGCGATGACAAACCCACTGCTCTTCAGAATTAAAGATTTCAAAAGCTACCACAACGGAAGTTGATTCCGGTGTGTTGATGTGAAGTCGGTGTGAAGTTTCTCGAAGTTCCCGTCCCGACGCATTTATTATTATTTCCCACAATGGCAGACGGGTGTTGTCACGGGCACAGCCACTCAGGAGGGAATGGACACAGTCATTCAGGAGGACATGGACACAGCCATGGACCTTCTGATGCTTGTGAGGGTGAAGGTTTGAAAGGCGAGGAGTTCAACCTGTACCTAAAGATTGACATGGACAGCCTCACTTGTCTCAACGAAGAAGTGGAGGGATCCGCAAAAGCGGTTTTTAGATCGTTTGAAGAAAGGCTTGACAGAACGAAGGTAACTGTTTGGAATATGCTGATAAAGAAATTGTTCATAAATTTTTGACTTATCACTATTTTTTTTTTTTTTTTTTTTGTATGCAGGGGCTTTTTTTTTAGTTTTAAATTGAAAAAAAAAAAAAAAAAAAAACAGTAATTACTATGGGAAGTAAATACATATTAGGCTATCCACCGAATAACGGGCACAAAAGATGGCGGCCAAAAACATGGCCTCAGTCGCGTGTCAATTGCGCACTTCCGGCGACCTAATTTGCGGTTTCACTGCGATTACCGTCACCACCGAGAGTATCCCCCACGCCGCTCACGCGGCATGGATTGGGGCTAAACAAAATAGCTAGGACTCACTAACAAAGCTGCATTAGATGCGAAAGCTGCTGCTCGTGAGTCCTAGCATCTAATGCAGCTTTGTTGATGAGCGGTGTGGGGGATACTCTCGGCTGTAGTCGCAGGAAAACCGCAAAGTAAGTTGCCGGAAGTGCGCAATTGACACGTGGCTGAGGCTCTGTTGGGGTGTTTTTTCGGCCGCCATCTTTTGTGCCTGTTATTCGGAGGATAGCCAAGTATTATAAGTAAGTCCCTAAATGACACTAATGTTTATTGGATGGCATGAAAATGTAGTCGATTGTTTCTAAATGTGTCTTTAGGTGACAGCAACATCAAACTTTATGTCTCCGTTCATTAGGTGTTGCATGCCCAAAACAAAAACTGTACTTACGTGCTGTTGTGCTGTTTTTTTGTTGGGGGGGGGGTGGAGCAAAGGTCTGAATGGCCCTGAAAAGGATCAAAAGTTTGCTTATGTAAACTTCAAGGTCACCCATGAGTTGGTAGTGATACATTTTTTACACGGTTAGTAGATCTGAAGATGTCATCGAATGCAGCACTTGAGACCAGTCGTACACAAAAATAATGACCTATCTGTAAGGCAGACGTTAGCCTTGCAACCACTGGCCCTCCTAAACGGGATGTCCTGTCGACAGTTGGAATGCCGGCATCGCCAACGGTCCTGACGCTCATTCAGCGACAGTGGCGACAGCACCATGAGTTGATTCTTAGAGAAGCATCTGGCTAAATGCAAGATGCCATGCTGTTGCAGAAAAGCAACACTGCTTAGCTTGTCATGCACCTGTGCTGACATGTCAAGTACGTTCATGGCAAAGTCACAACGCTGCTTCAAGACAGGCACAGTGATGGTGGTGAATAGACAAAAGAAACACTGAGACTGATGATGCAATGAATGGTGAAAACACTGAAAACAACCAACACACAACACCTTTGAAATATTGGACTTTCCCGGAAACTCTTCTGGAAATCTTGGGTTCCGCAAAAAAGAAAAAGAAAAGAACCAGAATTTCTGATTAGAAGAACCATATCTTGGGCCCTGGTGAGTTCTCCTTATTAGGTCTGCACTGTACATGTCCTTTGGCAATGGAGGACCCACATTTCAATAAGATATAACCCTTCACACCACAGTGGCAATTTTCAGTAATGGTATTACTCCAATTTCCAATTCCAATTCGTCCAACAAAAAATTCCAAATTTGATCCTTTTTCAGCCGCCCGGAGGCCTGCTATATGAAGGAAGGTTCCTTTGCTGTCTTATTTGATTTCCTTTTATTTGTGGTGTGTAGTCACACCTGATATTCCGGTTCTTTGCTTCCTTGCTGTGCTGTGGTCTTTGGGTCTGGTGTGGTCCAGTTCTCTTTGTGATGATATCTACGGGTATTAGCTGACTGTTGCTGGTGCTTGGTTTGCCTCATGCTGATCGCTGTGCTGGTGCCCTGTTGCTGCTTGGTTGCCGTCTTGTAAAGCCGCCGGGAAAAGCTAAACAAACACTGGGTCACAATGTCTCAAACAATGCTCCTTTTCAGGACAATCAGGGCCATCACAATCTGTTGTTGTGATCAGCCCGTCCACGGAGTGTGGAGAAGTAGTGGAAGTAAGATAGGCTGCAAATGAGGGATCAGTTTGCTCAAATGTGCCAGGCGATGTTATAGTTAGGTCGGGGGAGTGAGAGTGACAGATAGATTGATAGAGGTAGATTCCACCCTAGTGTGTTGGGGTCCCTTGGTCTGAAATAAAAGTGAAAGACATTTGTTAAAATACAAGTGGGGTGGCATGATGGAGACTAGAATTCCCAAGTGCTGGTCCCCTTAGGTGCAATGCCCTCGGCTATCTGCTTCGGAGCGTCGGGTGGCATGTGGTAGTTTCCGTTGTCTTCTTTTTCCTGAAAATATACTAGGTTAAGATTTTTGGTTAGCTCTGTGGTAATTGCGTGGTTATTTGCCAGTGGGGCTGGAGCAGGTGGGTGTGGCTCCGGTGTGGTGGCTGTCTGTCTGGTTGACGGTTGTTTGTTTTAGGCTGTCCGTGAAGATGGCGGCTTGTTTGGTGGGTTCCTCCTGTGGCTCTTAGAATTGGCGGTAGCCTCTTCTCTTGGGTGTGCCATTTTCCCACTGCTTTCTCTTGCGAATTTGGATCAGGGCCGCGTTAAGTTCGTCATAGAGTTGGTCAACTAGTTCGCGCGTTTCTATTTCTTCTGGTGTTTTGACTTTTTTGTCGAGCACTTCCCATTTGTATTCCATATGGGATTACTTTTCCATTACTACTTCTTATAGTCCATGCCGTGTGGCATTGATAGTCATGTCTATACATAACCTTATGTCTCATGTACTTTCAATCAGTTCTGACACAGGTGATCTTCTATACTCCATGCTGTGTTGCATTGGTAGTCATGTCTATTAACAATCTTCTGTCTCATGTACTTTTAGTCCTGACACAGATGATCTTCAGTGTCATGATGTTTGAACTGTCCATCATCTTCTCTTGCGGTTGTTTTTCTGCCTCTCTTTCCAGCTTTCCCATTGTCATTATATCCTCCAGTTTTCTCCCAGTGTAGATTATCTCCTTCCGATATGAGCAGTCAGTTATCTTCGTTTGTCAGTTTCTTGAACAAGGAGTTCGTCACCCGCTCACCGCGCAATCCGGTTTAGCCAACTACGCTAGATAGACGGATAGATAGATAGATAGATAGATAGATAGATAGATAGATAGATAGATAGATAGATAGATAGATAGATAGATAGATAGATAGATAGATAGATAGATAGATAGATAGATAGATAGATAGATAGATAGATAGATAGATAGATAGATAGATAGATAGATAGATAGATAGATAGATAGATAGATAGATAGATAGATAGATAGATAGATAGATTAGATTAGATTAGATATACATCTTTATTTCTCAGTCCAGCGTGTTCGCAATAGTTGTCTCTAAAACCACATCTCCGGCACTTCCATATAATTTTTCACTAATCTGCTGTCCATGATTCACTTCTGTATATTAGTTTAGGAGTTATATGGCTCTTGAAAATTCTCCTTCTCTTCCCAGTTGACAAAGATTGCATAGAATATACCATTACTTATTCTGTGCAAATTAACGGGAGTGTACCCTAGTATACTTTTTATTCTAATGCCATTATTATTTTTAATTTTCTTTTCTTCTAATGAATCTAATGGCTTTTCTCAAGAATTTTATTGTGTATGTTGTTTGCTCTCTTGTAATTTAGATAGTGTCCTTTGTCTCTGCTAGCAAAATGAGCCTTGTTTGAATGTGTATAATAATTATTGTTATTATATGCTACATGACAAGCAAATGTAATAAATAATATATTTGAAATAATATGAAATGTATAACCAAACACTAAAAAAAAGTATGTACATGGTTTGAGAGCGACTTAGCCCCTCACTCCCTCTTTTTGCTTTTGGCTTCCCCCAATAATCGAAATTGGGGAGGGGAGGGGAACTTAAACACCTTAAGCTTTCATGTTTCAGCAGCCCTGCTCTTGGGTATTGACCACTGTTGGTAAGCAAAGGTATTAACTACTTTACCAGTATTGCCCAGGTCATTATGGTAACAAATTATTTGTTTCCTTTGCAGTTTGTTTCCAGTGATGTTGATGAGGAGCTTCTTTTTAACATTCCGTAAGTTTAAAAATAAAATTGGTGTAAACATAAATAAGGCTTTTTACATTTAGCTTTTAAGCTGCAAGGCTACAGAAAGGTTCATAGAATACCATGGACCAAGAAGAAAAACTTCAACATCCTGAATGACCTGAACATCAAGGAGAACTGGCTCGTCCATTCTGCACATGTGGATTATTTGTTGTAAACTGTAGGTTCTTCGCCTCTCAGGCTGATGCACTCCAGCTTCAAAGGGCATACTCTTAATCAATCGACTTTTACGACATGCTTGTTAGGGGAAAGTGGGTCTATACTTTATTTCTACCCACAGTGGCATTCCGAAGCCCACATGCGGAGGCTGATATACAGTAGTGGTGATTATGTTCCTGATGATCTAATAAAATCCCAGTTAATAACTCTGCTTTAATAAAAAAAATTATGGTACAACTCACATAAGTCACCCCATCTAGTCGGACTCGAGATTTCTTAGGAGATTTACCAGAAATGCCCCTATAGGCTAGGGGTGTCATGTGTTCCTCGTTTTTGATTGTTTTAAGCACATCCACTGCCAACAGCCACCATTAACAAGCATAAAAGTACAAAAACAAATGATTCAATACTCACGAACCATTGCACCTCCGGCGCTTCCCCTGCAATGCTTCCTTCTTTCACACAGGCACCTTTATCGCCTGAGACCTACACACAGCACATTCCAGAAACAACAGTCATTCACAGAAAAGAGCGTTGTGAAAAGAAAGCTGCTCGTTTTCATCTGGGAGACAGTGTGTCAACCACATCTAACAAACCTGAGCCACTTTTGGGCTTGCTGTGTACAGACGGCGAAGGAAGACATCTCATAACACCCCTAGAACATAGGACAGCCCGAATTCTCGCTGCTGACGAGATGGGGTCACTTTCATGAGTAGTACCAAAAAATCCTTAGCAGCATAATACTCAGCTGTCGGCCTGAAAGTCTTGGGTTAGAATCTTCAATGAGCAAGTTTCGGGAAAAAAAAAAGACCTTGGTTCCCATGTTGACCCAGCCTAAAATGTATACCATGTAATGTCCGGGGAAGTAAAGGCGGCTGGCATAATGTTAACGATCGCTCATCAGGGGCCAAGTTTCCATTTAAAGAAAATTAGTCTTGTTGCATCATATGCCCAGTGCATCGTTAGTGTGACAAGGGATCTTAAAACTAGGCTCTTTAAAGTCTTATAAGTCATTTGACACAGCTGAAGGTAGTAAAACTAAGTACCCATGTGTGGGTTTTCAGGCCCCAATTAAGGGTTTTCCCTTTGGAGTCAAGAGTGCATCAGCTTGAGAGGCAAGGAGTAAGTAGTCTGCACACAAGTAAGCCAGATATGTACAATGGATATGCATGCAGAACAAAATTTTAAGAACAAGGCTTAAACGTCCAGAAGTGGATGAACAACCAGAACTTTCCACTGGAGGTAAAAGCCAGTGAACATGAAGAAGAAGAAGAAGAAGGAGCAACTACAAGATGGAACATTGACAAGCCTGACTTACCTGCCTAGGTATACAAGTCTAACTGGTAAAACTAACGTTAGTCTCCTAACGGACCACCCATATACACACTAGCTCACTTCTGATTGGTAATTCCGGAGCCCTGTGACCTTCCTACAAGGATACCGTTGATATTCCGTGTCGTATATTTCAGCACGCCAGCGCATATAACGCTGCAAAAACATGGACCAGCTGGTCCTAACACAACCCCCCCTAGAGAGTGATGCAACCTATGTCACATGCATTCTCTTTCTCAGAATGAAAACGTAAATGCAAGACACCACAGAAAGCAAACACCAAAGCGAGACACACCCGTAACTTTCAGGAAAGTCGACCAGCCCAACAAACTTATGAATGAAAAGTGACCTACTTTGTCTGGGGAGATTATCGTCAACCTAACCTAGTGTGTTATGTTGTGGGACAAGCAGATGAGAAGACAACTCATCATCCACTGATGTTCACTTGATTATGAGTACTTTATAAAGACTGGTTGAAATGATTGGTAGTTTTTGTATGTGTCTTTTACCCCTCTTATGCTTCGTAGTCATAATGATGTGTGTAGCTTAGAGGTTAGTGAATGCGGTTAACAATTTCATGATCCTTGAGTACTAGGGTTCCTTTCCCCCAGTGGATCGTTTAAAAAAAAAAAACCTTGGTTTTTGGACTGTGGTAAGAGAGTTGTACTTTGGACGAAATTGGGGCATAACATAAAATTCCTAAAGAAAGCAGTGGTACACTGTAGTAAGTCTTTATTGCGTAGACTGGACTTACTTTACAGAAAAAAGTTACTTTTGTTGTGTTGATGTCCATCCTCTAAACATACTCAATTGTTTATTTTTGTGTTTATATTAGGTTTACTGGGATAATCAAACTGAAAGGGATGCTTATCATTGGTGGAGAAAGAGAAAGACACCCAAACAAAATGAGACTTTTCAAGAACCGACCCAGTATGTCTTTCGATGATGCCAGAGCAAAACCAGACCAGGAAATGGATGTCCATGTGGACCATGAGGGTTTTGTGGAGTACAAGCCTATGTAAGTTTTGTTGTTTTTTCCTTCTTGATTCGGTATATTAATATTATGTGTATCTCTCATATCCGCCCAGAAAGCAGTGGCAAACTACTGGAAGTAAATTTGCCTAGAAAAACCACAACAGCCAAAACATACTGGGGTTGGTTCTGCAACGTCCTGTAAAGGCTACGCAACTAACTTTTGTATCTGTCATATAAGGTCACGACATCTAGCATGAGAATGGAGGTGGAGGAAGTAACACCAGCTCTCTGATTGCTAGTGGGTAATACAGCCTGTGACTGGCTTACAGAGCATGCTTCAATAAACAGAAACTGATGTGTTCACAGTGGTTTGCACCCCTTGGTACTACTCAGATCAGAAGTATGCCATGAATTTGTTGTGTGCAAAAGAACATTTGGGTGTGCATGATGATGCACAGATGAGTTCTCCCTACCCTTCTGGACAGTCGACTACTTTATGATACAGCAGCATAGTAAATATTTTCTGGAATCATGTTAACAGCGCAAAAGAATTGACAGCTTTGGAAAGAGTGATTTAGCTGGGAGTGAGCGGAGTCTGTGGCTTAGGCGTTGCGAACGCGCTTCGTTATGCTGGGGTGCCCGGTTCGATCCCTGCTGCAAATTTTTTTTTTTGGCTGGTTTCGACAGTGGTACCTAGAGCTGACCGCTCAGAACCAATGGCAAACTACTGAACATTAAATTTGCCTAGAAAAACCACAACAGCCAATAAATGCTGGGGTTGCTTCTGCAACGTCCTGTAAAGGATACGCAATTTAATGGCTTTTAAGCTAAGACTGGTAAGAGATGAAGTTCACTTTAATATTTTTTGCATTCACTTGTGTTCACATTAAAATGCAATAGAAGAGATGGTTTGGCCCACTTCACAAGAATACCCTGGCACCAGTTGTCACAGAGAACCATGCTGAAGAAATATAATGAATGCAGAGTAAGGGAATGTCCACACAGAATATGGGGTGACAACATCGAGAGTAACCTCAAAGAAATAAAGACCTGTTTAAACATGCATTAAAAAAAGAGCATGTAAATAATCCTTGTATCTCCCTTCGACACACGACTGGGAGAACTAGCGGAAGAGAAGAAGTATTCACTGCTCTGTCTTGACCAGTGGAAGCTGCTGCTGCAGTAAACAGATCCAGTGTTTGCAGTAATCAGTTCTGGTTTACTCTTTGCTAGCCTTATTGCATAACAGTCTAGTACATGGCTCAGGAGCCAACATATTAAAAATATATATCGTCATGGTTCAGAGGCCCGAGCCACAGTGTAGAAAGGTAATTAATACAGTACAACTGCCAGTGATCCACGGGCTGCCAGTTGAACAGTCCTGATCTAATAGATGTAAATAGAGACAATTCATTAAACTTTATTTGACGTAACTTTTGTAAATAACTTACTGTGTTAATTCACCAGTATGTTACAAGGACTCATCAGGAAGCCAAGAAAAGTGGGACTATAACCTACCTACCATGCATGTTATAAAAGGCAAGGAAGGAGGGTTGGTATGAGACTTTCTCATGCAGTAGAATAAATTGGCTGCAAAAGGTAATCAGCAATGAGCAAATCTACAAAGTTCTTAGTAGTGATTTGGTTGATAGCTTGTGCTTCATTCGGATGTAAAATAAAATTTTAAAAACAAAGTATGTATTGCTCGGTAGCAATATCTCTTTCAGTACTAGAAGAAAGTTAAAGCAGGGGGGGAGGAGAAGAATAGACCCACTACTTCCCTAACAGTCTTGTTGTAGAAGGCTACCTAATTAGAGGTGCTTTCTTCTAAGTTGTAGTGCATCTGCCTGAGGAGTAAGAACCCAGCAGTCTGCACACAAATAAGCCAGATCTGTAAAAAAACAGACTCAATTTTTTTAATAAGACAAAAGTCCTGAAGTGGATGAAATAACCAGAACTTTCTGTTTACAGACGGTGAATGCTAAAAAAAAAAAAGCAGAAATTAATTAATTATAATTGAATGCTTAATGCGTTCGTTAGCAGCAGAGGTGTTTAGTTATAAACAACACAGAGATTATGGACAGATTGTTATTGTTTACTCTGCTTACAACAGTCACACCATTAATTAAAGTGTACATTTTTCAGATTTCAATTTCTTTAAACTTCTTTGTAGTGTGGCACGGTTCAGTGATGTCAGTCACCTGTCAATTCATTTCCCGAGTAACCATGGTAACTCTGACAAGACAGAAGTGTTCTACATTGGCCTCAAAGGAGATTTTCTCGGGGTAAGCCTTTCAAACAAGACTTCTTTGCAGTTGCATCTTATAATTACACCTTAAATTGTCCCTTTTCCACTTCTTCAGGCATATAGGGCTGGACCTGTATTTAGATAGACCAGTCAGCCCTCGGTGGCTAATGTTGTAAGTATGCCAGTCACGTTTACTTCCCAAGCCTTTACCTCGTACCCATTCAGTGCTGGGTCGACCTGGAAACCGACATCATTTTTGAAAATTGGGTTCATCACGACCTTTTCATCCGCAGGCGAGCATCTAGCCGCTACACCATGGCGGCTCCCAATATTCTACAGTATTTGAATAAATCTGAGCCACAGTGTTGAACCACCCGTGGAAGTGCACCAGGACCAAGGCTGGTACTGGTCAAGATCTCTAGTGTCAGCCCAGAAACAGTTTGCTAACTGGGTGACCTGGTCAGCACAGATTGTTGTTGTTGTTATCGATCCAGCGGCGCATGAGCTTTCGCCCTTTGGCCCAATGCCATGTAGTGGAATTTGCATGTTTTCACAAGCTGTTCTTTTCCTCCGTACAAGGTGTTCCACTTGTCTGGTCTCGGAGGGAGTAGCGTTCTTCTTGTCTCACTGAGTTTTGGGCACTCAAAGAGATGGTGTTCAACAGTTTCGTAGGGGTAGTTACATAGCTGGCACTCTGGGGAGTGTTGTGGCTGTATTCTGTTTAGGTGTCCATTGAGTGGAGTATGTTGCGTTCTAAGTCTGAAGATGGTGGCCTGGTCCCTTCTTGTTAGATGGTTAATGCTGTCATTAGGATCAGGGCCAGACAGTCTATAAACCTCTCTTCCAGTGTCTCCCATGGCCCATCTGTTCAACCAAGTCTCTTTGTTTATAGCTCTTATCAGTGTTTTTGCTGTCTGGAGGGTTGTCGCTGTAGGTGGTTGTTCTTGTGTTGCTCCTTTCTTTGCCAATCTGTCAGCTCTGTCATTACCTGGTGTGCCGGAGTGACCTGGAATCCACTGCATCACTATTCTGATGTTGTATGAGGTAATAAGCTGATCGGCATCCAGGATTATCTTGGCTATGTCAGTTCTGCAGCGTTCATTGCCCTCCAGAGCTTGAAGGGCAGACATTGAATCTGTGAAGATGACAATATTTTGGACCTTTGAGGGGTAAACATCCATTACAGTCTTTAGGTGGTATCTGCTGTTTCCATTGCAATTATTTCAGCTTCATAGTTTGAACAGAATTCCCCGCATGCATCAAAAATCTCTTCAACAGATCCATCGGGATAACCTATGTAGATTCAGCACAGATAAGGTCAGCGTATTTTTCAGGTGCATCTGCCTGAGAGGCAGGAACCAGCAGTCTGCGCACAGATAATCTAGATCTGTATAACAGATGTGCAAGCTGCCTAATTTGGAAGAGACTGACAATGATAACTTATCATCTCTTTCTGTCATCTAATATTTTAATGAAGATTCTGTTGCTTATGATGTTGCTTAAAATATCAAGACCAGATTTGATTATATGTCAACACCCGCTAGGGGTTCCTAAATTACAATATATAATCCTCGAATCAGCTTGTAACAAGTATAAGCCACTATCATTAAATATGTGGCATAGTTTGTTTATGTATACATCTGTTATATTTGGGCACACCACGCTTTTATTAGTCATGGTCGGGGCCGTCCGAATTGCATTATTTCCCCCAGGGCAAACCAATGTGGGAGTCGCCATGGCGGAGCGGCTAGACGCTCGCCGCGGATCGGAAGGTGGTGGGTTCGCTCCCTGGCAGAGAGCCGGAACTTTTTTCAATAATGGCCCTGGCTCCCAGGTCGACCCAGCCTTGAGTGGGTGCCGGTTGCAGTCCCGGGAAGTAAAGGTGGCCGGCGTGATGCTGACCACATCACCCATCTTGTGCCAATTGGTCTATAAAATATAGGTCTACCCCTATATGCCCTATACATCTAAAGGCGTGCAAAAGGATTATTTACATTTTTTTTTACAAACCAGCGTGCTGCAGCCCGCAGGAAAACCAATGTGCTGCGGCCCGTGGGAAAACCACTATGCTGGGACCCCTATAAAAGCCCCTCATGGGAATTAAATGCAAATGATCGATAATATTAAACATATGTATATTTTAATGGCACTTCAACAAAACTGGTGTTAAAACATAAACATAGATTAAATGTCACAGTATGAAATTACTGCCATCTGCTTATATACCTAGTCATTTAATATTCACAGTTCAGACTGGGACACCCAGGCCTATGCATTAAGACAGCCCTGGTTGTATACAATTGTAGAATAATTTTTGTAAAGATAATTAGTTGAACTCATATTTATATTTTTTCAACGGATCAAAATCATGGCACACGGGTGAAATCCATAAGTGCTCTGTTCTACTTCTAACTCAAGCCCGAGTCTGAAGACTCTCAGTGCAGTGCACGAGCTCTGTTGCACTGGCAAGGATCCTGAAATACTTGACGTAGATTTTTTTACTCAAATTTTTAATGGGCAGCGCCGTTAGGCTACCTTTTTCCCGATTTTCAACTGTTAACAATACACACGGGCATCCGTTCTTACTACCTAGAGACCATGGGAAATAACTAGAAGTCCACGTGAACCGGGACCTCCAGCACTCGAGGCGGATGCTAAATCTTGGGACCATTCAGCTCTAAACTCGTGTGTCCCCATTGAACTATATGATAAAATATTTTAGATTTTATTTGTTTTAAAGATCTCTCTGGTTTCACTGAGACGACAAAAGAAGAGAGATTCCTTTATATACGCATCAGGCGTATGGGGTTAGACTTATGTTTGTATAGCCCGGTTGGCCTTCGATGGGTGATGTGGTCAGCTTCACAACAGCTGCCTTTACTTTCCAGGCCTTTACTTTACTCTGTACCCGTTTAAGGCTGGGAGCGAAGGTCATGTATGGAAAAAAATATAGCTCAATGCTAATTTGAAATCATTAGCTTCAGATCCGCAGGTGAAGGTCTTGCCACTACACCATGGATAATAAAGTCTGGCCACTACACCATGGATAATAAAGTCTGGCCACTGCGCCATGGATAATAAAGTCTGACCACTGCACCATGGATAATAAAGCCTGGCCACTGCACCATGGATAATAAAGTCTGGCCACTGCACCATGGATAATAAAGCCTGGCCACTGCACCATGGATAATAAAGTCTGGCCACTGCACCATGGATAATAAAGTCTGGTCACTGCACCATGGATAATAAAGTCTGGCCACTGCACCATGGATAATAAAGTCTGGCCACTGCACCATGGATAATAAAGTCTGACCACTGCACCATGGATAATAAAGTCTGGCCACTGCACCATGGATAATAAAGTCTGGCCACTGCACCATGGATAATAAAGTCTGGCCACTGCACCATGGATAATAAAGTCTGACCACTGCACCATGGATAATAAAGTCTGGCCACTACACCATGGATAATAAAGTCTGACCACTGCACCATGGATAATAAAGTCTGGCCACTACACCGTGGATAATAAAGTCTGACCACTGCACCATGGATAATAAAGTCTGACCACTACATCATGGATAATAAAGTCTGGCCACTGCACCATGGATAATAAAGTATACATTTAGTAAAAATGTTAATGAAAAATATCATTGTGAAAATCTTATGTCTAGTAGATCATGTGATAAATTATTGTGTATCTTTTAGCACATTAGTTAAAATTGTATACAATTTAAGTAATATAAGCTTATTTTATAAAAAGTGTTTTTTTATGTTTGAAATTGTTTAACATACTCTTTTAACCCATATGCAGGCTCACAGGCAAGAAATCGCGATTACCACATATGAGGCCCTGCCTAATCCTGCAGACCATAAAACTGACTCTATGGATCCATTCAACCCTCTGGTGTCTTGAGTTAGCCTTTGTCACCTACAAGCACTGGGCTAGCCTGTATCAGCTATAACAAGTAACCGATTGTTCCAGAGCTCCACTGAACTGACGTGTTTTCGGTTGTTGAAGGAAAACGTTCTTGTTGCTGTATTTATAAAGATTATTAGTATTAAATTACCTTCAACTCAAGAGGTCAAGAGGATTCCTTTGTCTGTTGTTATTTGTGACTTAATTAATGATTAAATATTGTAAGACATGAACAATACATTGCAAAGTTCATTGCGTCACATAGTTCACTGTATCGTGTCAGATACCCCCACCCACTTCCCCACGCACAAGCATGTTTTAAAAGTCAACTAATCAGGGTTGTTTCCTTCGAGTTTAAAGTTTATCTGCTTGAGAGGTGAGAAATCAACAGTCCGCATACAGATAGGCCAGCTGTGAAAACTGGTGTGCATGTAAAACTCAAGTTCTGTATGAAAAAGAAAGACTACAGTCTGGAAATGGATGAACATCCAGATCGTTTCACCGGGGTTTACAGCCGGTGAATGCCAGAAAGAAGAAAACTTCATGATAAGCTGTGAAATAAAATAAAATGTAGGATTATTTAGCTTACATATTGAAATAGTAAAAAGGTAACAATATTGTGACAGTGAAAACAAATTAGAGGGAATAAGAGGCACTAGGAGACCAAGAGAGCAGATTTTGGATTGTTTGGCATTAGATAATGTGGAAACATCTATATCAGAAATTATTATCTGTGAACATGAAAGAAGGATGTGGAGAGAAATGATCAATATCTTATGGCATAGACTTTATAAAAAAGATATCACATGGAGAGTCGGCATCTGTGGCTTATGTGTTGTGAACGTGCTTCGTAATGGGGGCCTTGAGTTGGTTTCGATAGTGATATCGAGAAGCCAATCATCCAGAAAGCAATGGCAAACTACTGGATGTAAATTTGCCTACAAAACCACAACAGCTAAAAAATGTTGTG